ACATACATACATATATACACATACATACATACATACATACATACATACATACATACATACATACATACATACATACATACACACGCACACACACACGCACACACACACACATACTTAATCACTGAAATAGAGTTCCTGGTCCGACAACAACAGAACAGCTGTTCCTTCGTGAGGAACGTTTGAACAGAGCTGCTACAGAAACAACCATCACAACCAAAACCAGAGACCGGAGAGCTGATCAGTGGTAATGGGCTGTGAGGAAAAAAGAGGATTACCTAAGTACGAGGCTCCGAGGGAGTCCCTGGCCGTCTGGAACAGCACCGGCTCGTGAACCGAGGGCGTGGTCACGTCCACGGTGGTCCAGGCCACGCTGTGGGAGGAGCCACAGGCCACCCGAGTGATCTTCTGTCCCTCCAGACCCTGAACCAGCGTGGGCTTCCTGTTGACAGTGGTGGTGCCGTTCCCCTGCTGCCCGTGGTCATTGTCCCCCCACGCAAACACCTGACGGACAAACAACAACAGCATGACCTACAGGCTCACAGGTCTTAGAGCTGAACAGAAGGTCCTGTGCTGCCTTCAAGGTTTCTTTCGGCTGTTGTAAAATAGAAAACCCATCAACTTCATTTCCCACACGTTTAGATTCGCTGCTGAAACGTGTGGGAACCTTGAAGGGAGAGAAAGTAAAAGGCGTCGCTCCGAGCACTCAATCTCAACACAATAAAGTGGTGAAATATAGAGCAGCTGCCTCTCATGATGAAGTGATGTGAGAACATGACTTCATTTGCTGTAAGACGTCTTCTATACGCTGAGGTCGGAGGTGTGAGAGTCGATAAACAGTGAATGAACTATGTGATATCTGGTTTATAATAGTCTGATGACTAGGGACCCCTGAAACCCAGTTCTAAACAGGAACCGGTTCTAGAGTAGTAAAAACCCGTTAGTACTGATGAGGTCCAGAGTCAGCGGTTCTGCTATCGGTGCTTCAGAAGTTCTGGAGTGAGACATCCTCGTATTTTAGAACTTCTTGTGTTGCTGCTCAAGAAAGTCTATTTGTTTACATACAAGAACAATAAAGAACTGTGGATTCTTTTCTTTCTATCTCACAGAATAATCAAAAAGAACCGATCAGAGTATCGATAGTGAACCGAACTAATGAGCCGGTGAGGTCAGAACCAACCTGTCCTGTTTCTGTAACAGCCAAACAGTGCAGCGCTCCAACAGCAACATGGACGATCTTCTTCCCCCTCAGCCCCTCCACCATCTGGGGCTTCCGCACGTGGACGTCGGTGCCGTGACCGAGTCGGAAGTAGTCGCCTTTGCCCCTGTTTGGAAACACGAACCGTGAGCACTCACTGGAGACAGAAAAAGGGAACTGATGATGTCGTACGGTCACCGTGTCACTCTCGTCCGCCTCACCAGGTCCACACCACTCCGGATTTAGTCAGGGCCAAAGAGAACTGAGCTCCACACTCTATCTGGCAGACGGCCTGCCCGTTCAGCCTCTCGATGTTCTGGGGGATGTTGCAGCCTTCGCTGCCTCCGCGACCCAGCTTCCCAAAATCACCATCGCCCCAGGAGAACACCAACCCTGACAAACAATAAACAGATAAAACACACGTTACCGAGTAGAAAGAGAAACGCATCCATCTGAGCCAGAAGAAAACGTCCACAAAGAGTCTTTTTTCAATTGTTCCCAAAGATCAGAGAGACAATGAGGCCGTCGGGAAAAGAAGGCGCTATTTCTTCTGAGAGCTCCGGTGACATCACTGGAGTAAATGGAAGAGAAGCTTGTTTTGGCCATGTCTGTCTATCCTGAGCTCCATGTTTATTATTTATATCTATATTTCATTACAAAAACCTCAGCTTGTGGGAGCAGATCTGTGGGATGGACACCGAGTTGTGCTTTTATGAAGCTCATCTATACGAAGAATGAAGCGGACCTCCTCCGTCTGATGTTCATGGTGAAGAAACTACGTTAAACAAATAGACAAAGACTAGACTTAAGCAAAGCAGCGATGTCAGTCCATCACACAACGCTGGTGATGTGCTGTCATCGAAACATTAGAAAGAGAGCTCGGAGACACTGAGAGGAAGCCTGTAAGTACAGGAACAGGAGTACCTTCATCAGTCAGGGCCAGAGTTTGGGCGTCTCGGCTCCCACAAGCCACCTGGATCACACGATGTCCCAGAAGCACTTTCACCTGGAGGACAAAGGTCACAGCAAGAAGGGAGTTCACGGTCAATTTACTCACTTCACAGTACTCATGGGTTCAACCGATCGGTGCTCGCTCAAAGTAAAACGGGGGCGAGCAGAGAAATAAACCTGCAAGTTGTTCTCAGAATGTGCAGAGATTCCCGTCTTCAGAGAGGCTGATGCATCTCTGCAGAGATGAGTTCTGTTAGTTTGATAGTTCCATCGTTCAGCCAATTAGGTGCAAAACCTTTAAATATATATTTGCACTATTACAAATAAATGTAAACATGCAAAGCACGCATCATTAAATAGATCTAAACATTAAGCTGCAGAGCCATATTCCATACTTCATCTAGTATTCATATTACACTTCATGATCCAAATCATTGGAGGATTAAAACCTTCTCTTGTGAACACGTTTAGTGATAGTGTGCGATGTTTAAAATGTTCATATGTATTCTTGTTATTATTTAAGAGCTTCCTCGTTGTTTAATGAAATCTTAAGTAAAGAGGTAAAAATCAAACACCAAAGTATAGTTTACATGTTCTGCTACCTCGTCATTTGCAAGTGTTGACTGTAAAAATAAATGATATTTCATGAGCCCATAACGAGCTAAACTTAATCAAAATGTAAGTATTCATAGATTCATAATTCATTATTTCATCAACAATGAACCAGGACGTACCCGAAATACAACAAACAATCAATCAAGTCCACATTCAACGAGCTTCTACTGGTCAAACATCATTTATGCAAACAGACTTTAAATGAACAGAAAAGACTAAAGAGTAAAATGAGCTACTGGTGGATTCATTACTTTATCTTCTTCTATATTAATCATTTATACTGTGTGACTGGGCGCAGACATACCAGTTTGGGCCTCAGCTGCGTGGTGTTGTCTCCGTGTCCGAGGCGGCCGTATTCCCCTAAACCCCAGCTGTACAGCTCCCCGCTGGAGGTGATGGCGGCGCTGTGAGAACTCCCACAGGCGATGTCTCTGATGCGCTTCGTCTTCAGCGCCTCGATCAGCCGAGGTTTGTCACAGTTCCTGAGACGGAAAAATACATTTCACACACTTATGTTTAATCACGTCTTTAGAAAGTAGTCCATAAAGCTGCATCGGGGAGAAGTGAAACAAAAACAAACTTTTGGATTCAAGAATTCACATTCTGGACAATAATGAACCCTCCGAGCCCCAAAACACATCGCAAGCATGTTTTTGACTTTTAACAATTGCCAAAACTACACCGTTCCTCTCAGCCAGAAGCTGTAAAAAACGTCATTATCGTCAGGTTTTCATCTTTCCGACAGTGGAGAGGAGAGAGGAAGAGAAGAGAGGAAGAGAGGAGAGAGAGGAAGAGAAGAGGAGAGGAGAGAGGAGAGAGGAAGAGGAAGAGAAGAGGAGTCACTATAACTGTGTTATTAAAGACATGTTCTCGTTCTCTCTGCTTCTAGTCATGATGGTTCTGGTTCTATAGAACTTTATATTGTAATGAAAAACTGAGTAAAATGTGTCCGGAGCAAAAAACACCCAGAAAACTGTTTTGTGGTTCAGAATGAAAGTCCTGAATGTAAATAAAACGCAGACTAAGATAACACACAGTAAGGATATGAGAGACACGCTAACATACATTCTGCTGAAGTGTCCCAGCTTGCCGTCATCTCCCTCTCCCCAGGAGAACACCTTCCCGTCCACGGTCAGCGCCATGGCGTGGCGGCCCCCGGAGTGCACGGCGACCTTCTTCACCACGTAGTTACTGAGCGCGGTGATCTGTCGGGGGATGGGGATGGTCCCGCTGGACAGACCCAGACCCAACCGGCCGTTAGTGGCCTCTCCACACGCGTAGATCTTCCCCTCCACCGTCACTGCAGACAGCGACACAACGCTCACATCCACAACAACATGCACGCTTTATACAGAAAACTCCAATGATATACATCACCAACCTGCAAAGAGGCTTTTTGAACCGCCGGCTACTTGCACCACATTGAGAGCAGAGAGCGTTTCAGAGAAGGACGGAACCTTGATCTGAGGAAAGACACAAACCAGAGTGATGAGAGACGCAGCAGCTTCAGAGCTGGTTACTCTTTCGGACACATCCTCTCATGAGCTTATCAATGAGTACAGATACATAATCAATACGACAACACTGGACTGAGTGGCAGGTCTGATAAACTGGAAGTAAGTCTGTTAAGATCTGTATTCGATTGTGACGGGAACTGAGAACCGGTTCCTTGAAATGTCTTCATGACTGTGGACTTCTCTCACCGATGCACGACGACGTAACGCCACGTGCACGCTGTATCGTGTTTCAGTGCGTCTGGTACTAATAAAAGCCTGGCGGGACACACCCTGCTGTTTACCTGATCATGCAACATTGTGAACAACACATCTGTGTTGACATCAGCAGGAGGAGAGACAGTTAGCTGTTAGCAGCCAGCACAGTATTTCCATTGCATGCTACTTTATACTTCTACTTTACTACATTTAAAAAGGGAAATAATGCACCGTTTCCTCCACTACATTAACGTTAGCTATAGAAACACGTTTCTCTTCATATGTGAAGCTCACACTAAAGCTCTATGGAGAGGACTTAAGGCATCAAATAAACAACAAGCTGCACCTTAGAGCCCTTGAGTCCTCCCAGCTGGTCCTTGTCGTTCAGGCCCCACACAAACACTTTGGTCCTGATGGTCGCAGAAGACTCCAAACCTGAAGACTTCTTCCGAGCGAGACTGAAGGAAACACACAGAGAGGTCCTGGATAACAATTCACTTCATCTTCATCTTAATGCTCTCGTCGCGATTATTGGAAGATTAAAAAGAAACACACAGCCATGTTCAAGTAAACATCGCTGTATAGCTCATGTAATAGTTCAAACGCAGGAGGAGGAGGAGGAGGAGGAGGAGACACTGCTGCTGTCGGGAGCTCAGCTCTCCTCGTCCCTCCGGGGCTCCGACTGCAGGTCCAAGGCTGCGACCCGGTGGCCCCGATGACGAGCATTCAGAATAACTATATAGAAACAGACCATCTCTGAAACATTTGCTCCTTCGTCCCTTCATACCTCCCAGTGGTGGTTTTGTCATCCTCCTCTTCCTCATTGTCAGATGCCAGGAAGGGGACGGTGGCCAGGTCTTCGTCCTCCGCTCGGATGCGTCCAACGATGCCGAGCCCGTGAATCTTACAGTCGATACCGGAGCTGCGGCACTGCTTGATGGAGACCTCGAGGTATCTGTGATACTGGAGGGGGAGAGACATCATTATTATCATATTATTATCATATTATTAAAACACAAGCTTCTGAAGGTAATAAACAATGATTAGAACCACGTCTCAGTCAACTGACCTCGGTGCAGTCACTGAGGAGAAGGATGGTGGTGTCGGTGGGATTGATGTTAATCGTCTTCAGCTCGATCAAGTTGTTCAAAGAGCTTCCACCTGAATATGAAGAAGAGATATTACTGCTGAGAAACACCACGTTGTTCACACAAGAGGAGCAAACAGAAGAATATAAACATTATTATGAACTTATTATAGGATCGGCGGTTCGATGTCCAAAATCAAACAAAAACAACTCACACGCTTCCCAACATTGAAGCCAAATGCAGCCAAAACCATCTAATAATGTTAAATGTAAAAAGATCCCGAGTGACGCAAAAGGGTTAGAAGAAGCAGAATGATGAAACTCGCCTGACACCACCACCAGTGAGGGCATGTAGCTGCTGTCTGCCGGATCCACCACCATCTTCAGCCTGTGCACCAGGACGTCTGGGAAGAGCTCCAGACGGACCCAGTGCTGTAGGAAGAAAGAATGGAAGAATCAGAGTCAGGTGATGCTTCAGAACCTTAAATCACAGCCAAACTAAACAGACTTATGAGTATGAAATTCAATCTCCTGCCTTTCCCTGCGAGCCGGAGGACTGCCAGCACTGATCGCTGCAGTCGATGAGGCGCGCCGCCTGGTTCACGGAGGACGACACGCTGAGGCTCTTGACGGCTCGCGACCAATCGTCGATCAGCATCCCGCGCTGGCTGCTCTGGTGCTTCTTCAGCTGCTTTCCTGAGCGGCCGGAGAACGCTGGAGACTGGCCTGAATGTGGAGGAGAGACGGGTTTACACACACAAGCCTGAACTGCTCTAGACATCGCATTTAATCCGTGCTTCATGATGAAGTCATGAACCGGCTACGTGACCGCGGTGAAATCTGAGCATCTACAGCTGAGAACTCTTTCGACACGGACAAGTCCAGACCTGATTCTCTGGACGTTGTCCGGAGTTCATGCGAGTAAAATGGCTTCAGAAACATCACAGATGCATTGCGTGCAACTAACCCGGCTCGTTGATTCTGCCGAAGGAGTGTCTGGTGTTGTGTTTGCGGGTCTTGAAGCAGTTGTCACAGAAGTCGAAGTCGTCGCAGTTCCTGCATTTGAATCTGGGGCCGTTTATGGGGAACATCTGACAGCCGTCACACCTGCAGACCACACAGGTTTCATGTCAACAACGCGTTGAGATACGCAGCGGCTTAACATCAGACAGAAAGCTTCAACACATTCAGACCTCACTCCAGGGTGAACACTGGGCACCAGCTCCATCTCAGACAGCAGGCCGGTCCAGTGGGACTGCTGAGGGAAGTCCACGATCACATCCTTCCCATTGGCACTGAAAGCTAAAACACAACATTCACACCGTTAGAACAGAAGATTAAACAGCCGACGACATCACTAACGGAGGAGTCTGGTCAGATTGTGAACAGCAGAAAAAGTAAAGAAACGGTTATCGTTCTGAATAGTTTGATCGGTGATATAAAAGGCGGATCAGATGACCCAAAACACACGGGACAAGTTCTCTTCATGCTGCTGAAAGAGTTTCACTGGAGGTGTGAGTCGTGTCTTTAAAGCCAAAGGAAGGTCTGAGTAATGAGGTGTTTTACTTACAGCCGCACTGAAGGACCTCTGTGTGAAAGAGGCTGATAGTTTGCACATGTTGCTCGACAATTAATAAACAGTTGTCAACACATACTTCCCAATCGCTCTTCATTTTAATACTTCTTATGCACAGTGTTGTTAAGAATAGTTGGGTTTTATGGCCGGGCACGCATTAACTTAAGACTAGTTCAATAAATATAAAAGTTCATTAAGAATAGTTAAATGAATAAATAATGGTCCACAATAAATAGAAGGTGATCAGAGCTCGGTATCGGCTGGCACTGTTTCCGGTGATCTGAGCAGCGTTGAGTGAAGATCAATTTGAAAAGGCTTCAGAGAGCAGCTTACCTTTCACCACCCCGACACTCCTGTGAGTGACGGAGCCCCATTTGTACTTGGGTGTGGTGACGGAGGGCTTCACTCTCACTTTGTCACCGATCTTTATATGAGAGGGGGAACTTTGAGGTGGGAATCCTGGAAAAAGTCAAAGAAAAGACCCAAAACATGTGAAACGGTGAAGAGAACAACAACCGCCACTCGCTCTCCTCGCCATCATCAGAACCGTGTGCGCTCACCGAGCAGCTCGATGTGGATGTACCGGACCCAGTAGGTTCCTCCTTTCTGCTGCCAGTCACACTGCACGTTTAAGTCGTGAAGCCCGTCCCGGTCCAGCTTGATCACTTTCCCGACGTCTCCGTCGAACACTTCCTCGTACGTTCTGCAGCACTTCACCATCATGCCCACCTGCAGAGCAGTCGGGGATCGGTCACATCACAGTAAATGATATTGATGTTGTGGAACGGACTACCTTCTTTCCTTCATCAAAGGAAAAGGCTGCGTCTCTTACCTGGATGTTCTCTCTCACGTACACAGCGTAGTCGTCGTTGCTTTGGAAATCCGATCTCTTCTTGAATGTCTGGCTCTCAGTCACCACCGCACCTGGAGGCTGATGACACACAACGCTCTTATTAATCATGTCATCAGGACAATCTGACAGACCAGTGACTCCCTTATTATTATTATTGTTGTTGTTGTGGAGGGAATAAAAAGAGGACAGAAATGTACCACGGGGAACGTGGGCTCGGCCTCCTCCAGCTCCTCCAGCACCTCCTCATCAGAGTATTCATCGGACACGGTGTCGGCGTCCGACACCTCGGTGACCTGAATGTCTGGATGGTCCAGCAGCCAGCCCACCAGAGCCTCCACACCTGACCGAGACACTCAGTTACGTACGTCTCAGGTATGAAAATCACATTGTGGGTTTTAGCTAGAAGGGAAATTCAGGACTGTGTCACAGTGAACTCTTACCTGGGACACCAGAGGCGCTGCCCGTCGTTCCAGACAGCGACTTCAAGGCAAACTCGACGTTTTTCCGCGGGAACCCCATGTCCATGAGCTGGAGGACGATGGGTAAGGGAGGCACGGGGGAGGTCTTCTGCTTCTTCTGTTTGGGGGGTCGGACGTGTTGCACGGTGACGGGCGTGGTGGCCTCGCTGGAGCTGCTCTCCTCAAACAGTGGCGAGGACGGGTGGGCGGATTCCACAGCGAGGTACTGACACACTGCCAGAGCTGCAGCCTACAGAAACACAGACACACAGGTCACGCTGAGGCCAACGCCAACACACCAGCTCTCCGAGGCTTCACCCACATCAAGGCATTTCGTCTGTTCTCTCGCTCGTAGCTCTGCTGGAGGCTGAAGTCTGTCGTACTGGAGAGCTTTTATGCTTTTGTTCCTTTACAGTTTGTGTGAACTTTACAATAGTTGAGCAGAACAAAATAAGCATTAATAAGAAAAGGAAAGTCCTCTGTTTTGTGTCCGTCGTCTTCCTGAAAGCCTCCAACCGTCAGACATCGCTCCATAGGTCTGATAACACCACTGGACACACCGCTCGCTCCAATAACAGCTGCTTCCTCCGCATGTTGGCAGGAGTAGAATTAAATAAATGCAGAATTTAACTGAACAGCTGCTAGTAAAGACAACAAGGTTTAGTTATCCATGTTGAATTAACCTGCTAGTCGATCGGAGGCGGATGTTTGTTTTCTTCTGTCTGCGTGACCAATCAGAGAAGGACACGTCATGACTGATGAGACAGGAAGTGAGCATTGGTGTTTTCGTCATCGTCACTACGACACAACCCCAGAGTTTATAAACTAACACGCCGTCGGCAGCGTTTTCAAACATCTGTTTTAGTGTCTCTAGTCGTGAGGACGCTCGGACTAAACGTAGCAAAAGAAATGCGTTTGAAAACTGAAAGGTTTTGAAAGGTGTGAACGCAGCCTAACGTATGCAATAACAACGCTGACACAGAGCGAGGCCCATGGACTCACCTCCATCTCCTGCTTGTCAAAGATGGCTTTGATGGGTGAGGGCTGGGTGGCAGCAGACAGCAGCTGCTGCAGCAGGATCAGTGGAGGCAGAGGACCCTCAGGGGACAGGTCTCCCACATCAGGAGAGGACACCACCGGGTCCTCTGCAAAAGAAACAACACAGAGGGGTCATGAGAAGGACCCAAACAGAACCGACAAAGATGACAGCAGAATAAAGTCCAGATAATGAAGGAATGGACACACAGGAGCTGCTAGGCTGCATCAAAAGAGTTTGTGCTAACTGTGCAAACACAGCTCATCTTCAGAACTGAACCAAAAGGCCACAATAACTACATGTTGCCCATCTTGAGACCGCCACATAGAAAACTGGAGTAAGCAGCAAAGACTCTCCTGACCCTTCACTGTCTTACCGCTGGGGTTGGGTCCGATGTCCAGAACGGCTGCTTGTGAGAGGATCTGTCTGAGTTTGTCCTGGTGAGAGAGCAGAGCCCGTCCTGCCTTCAGAATGTACAGCCTCAGCTGCTGGCAGCGCAGCAGGTGGACGTCCACCTGGTCGGCTGGAGACACAAGAGGTTTGATTAAATCCACTGGAGCACGAAACCAAACATCCTGCGCAGACCGAAAGCTTCTCACGTCGTGGTTATTTGTAAAGAAGAATCATTCATCTTAGAAAGAAGGTTCTTATCGTCAGGGCACTTTGACAGACATTAGTCTAAATACTCACTTGTTTTCTATTTGATATGATATTCATGAGCCTCTCGTGGTTCTCTTTACCTGTGAGCCCTCGACTGACGGACTTCTTCATGCGTTGTTTCTCCAGTTTGCTTCCAGCCAGACTGACCAGCTGAGCCCAGACCACCAGCATGGGCTCAGAGAAGGGAAGGTTCTGCACGCTGAAGGACACGGCGGGCAGCTACGGGATACCACCACCACAGAAGAAGACAATCAGTATTTCATTGGTCTGACGTACAGACGTGAGCATCCAAACACTTCCGTACCGGTTTGAGATGACCGAGCAAGCAAACCCTGCTGGTCCTCATCTCGTGAAACTGGACGGTGATTCGTCCTTTCGGGGTGATGCGAGTGACGGTTCCCTCTCCGTATTCCTCGTGGACGACTTGGCCTCCGAGTCTGAGGCGCCCATCGATTCCTCCAATGACCGCCATCACCGCCATCAGACTGCCCACTCGAGGAGCGTCAGAGTCAGGGAAATACTCCTCCAGGAAGCACTGAGAGAGAGAGAGAGAGGGGGGGGGGGGGGGGAGAGAGAGAGGGGCGGGGAGAGAGAGACAGAGAGAGAGAGAGAGAGAGACAGGAGACGTTTTATCAAGAAGGCCAGAATAAAAGCACTAATGTGAGTTAAAGCGACAGTAGTCACATCTACGACTAACATGGTCACACACACACTAACTGAACCTATAAAGCTTAGATAACGCTCACTGCTTCAGACTGGCAGCCTGCCATCACGTCTCCGATGGAGCTGAGCTGAGTGTTGATGTAATTGTTGATCATGCTGTTCCATTGGTTGAGAGCGTGCAGAGTACGCAGCACAGAAACGATCTCCTCCGCCAGCGTGCTGCTGTGAGTGGCTGTGAGAGACGCCTGGGGGCGGGACTTCCTCCTTCGCAGGGAACCCTCTGTGCAGAGGAAGCAGCAGCTTAACACCACATGTTAAAAAATGCATGATGTTTTTAAAAGGAGACTAGAGTATGATTGGTGACTGTACCTCTGAGTAGCGGCAGGTCTGAGGAGCAGGTGCTGAGGAGGATTCCCAGGAAGTTGAACAACTTCTCCACCAGGAACTTCATGTCCTGAGAGCACTCCGTCTTGTCCCACGAGGGCAGGACGGCCTGAAGGAGACGAAGCGCCAGGATCTGGAAAAAAAAAACAAGTTTTTTTTATAAATAATCCTCCGACAACAGAACATCAGTTCATGTTCCTCATCCAGCATCCGTAGCTAAACCAACGAAAAATACTAACGCAGCGTAGTTCGTAGACATTTCACAGAAACATTTTGTAAGTTATCCACGAAATCATGAACGAGGAAGTATAAAAGTCCAACAAACGGTGATCGCTCCTCGTGTGAAACAAGTCAACGTCCATTTATTTGTCACGTGACTTAGTTACAGCTCATCCGTTGGTTATTTTAACCCAAATGACCATCTCGTCCTAAACCGCACTAAGTTGTTTCCTTTTAGATCCACGATCACGGTTTTTCTAAAAATAATTTATTGTTTTTGTCACCGTCCCAAAAATCATTTCAACCGCCCTGAAGTCTGTAAACCATCACATCTACTAAACGTTACACTTTGACTTTGTTTTAGTAATTTACAAGGAAATAAAATATTAAAACTAATCTCTTTATTATTATTATTATTATTAATGCTGTATAATAATGTGTTTATAGCTCGTGTTAGAAGTTAAACATCTCATAATTCATCTCTAATATCTGTTTTATATTCATGTGAAAACATCTCCTTCAAACTGCTGGATTCATTCTAGTTTATCACCAAAACTACATTTTACAGATGACATGTGAACACATCATGATAACGTTATAATGTACCTTCAGCCAGTACTCGTGTTCACTGAGCAGAGCCTGAAGGCATCATGATGTACCTTCAGCCAGTACTCGTG